GTTGTTGAATCCGGTTCGCTAGGATCTTGTTGAGAATTTTAGCATCTATGTTCATCAAAGATATTGACTTGTAGTTCTCTTTCTTTGTTGGATCTTTACCTGGCTTGGGTATCAATGTGATGTTGGCTTCGTAAAATGATTTGGGGAGAGTTCCATCTTTTTCAATCACCTGGAAACCTTCGGTAGGATTGGTATAAGCTCCTCCTTGAATGTCTTGTAGAATTCTGCTGGAAAGCCATCTGGACCAGGGCTTTTTTTTTGTAGGTGGTTTTCTTATTACGTAGTCGATTTCCTTGCTTGTTATTGGTCTATTTAGGATCTCAATTTCTTCTTATTCCAACCTAGGAAGGTTGTGTAATGTCACAAAGTCCTCCATTTCCTTAAGGTTTTCAAGTTTGTTTCCGTACAAGTGTACGTAGTAGTCTCTAATGATCTTTTGTATTTCTTCAGGGTCAGATGTGACTTTATCTTTTGTGTTTCTGATTGTGCTTATTTGGGTTTTTTCTCTTTTTTTCTTGGTCAGTCTAGCTAGGGGACCATCGATCTTGTTTATCCTTTCAAAGAACCAGCTTTTTGTTTCATTGATTTTTTTGTATTATCTTTTTGTCTTCTATGTCCTGGATTTGGGCTTTTATTTTGGTGATCTGGATTCTTCTGCTGAAATTAGGGTTTGTGTGGTCTTGCTTTTCCAACTTCCTTAAGTGGCTTGTTAAGCTGTTAATTTGTGTTCCTTCCATTTTCTTCAAGTGTGTTTGTAGGGTTATAAATTCCCCTCTTACTATAGCTTTTAAGACATCCCAGAGATTTTGGTAAGATGTTTCTTCATTTTCATTTGTTTCCAAGTATCTTTTGATCTCTGTTTTGATTTCATCATTGACCCAGGAGTTGTTTAGCATCATGCTGTTTAGTGTCCTTGTCTTTGTGGGTTTTGGGGGGACCTTGTTGGTGTCAATGTTTATTTTTATTCTACTGTGGTCCAAGAAGGTGCATGGTAGAATTTCGGTCCTTTTAAATTTGCTTATGCTTGATTTATGGCCAATTATGTGGTCGATCTTAGAATACGTTCCATGCGGTGATGAGTAGAATGTGTATTCTGTGGTCTTTGGATGGAGTGCTCTGTAGGTATCAATTAAGTCCCTTTGGTCCAGAGTCATATTGAGGTTCCAGATCTTCTGCTGATTTTTTGTCCTGATGATCTGTCTAGGGTTGTGAATTGGGTATTAAAGTCCCCAGTTATGATGGTATTAGAGTCAATATCTTTCTTTAGTTTTCCTAGAAGTTGCTTTATGAAAGTTGGCGCACCTATGCTGGGTGCATATGTGTTTAGGACAGATATTTCTTATTGATGGAGTGAACCTTTTATCATGATGTAGTGACCCTCTGTATCTTTTAAAATTATTGATAGCTTAAATGGTATTTTGTCTGAAATTAGGATTGCGACTCCTCCTTTCTTTTGTGTTCCATTTGCCTGAAAATTTGTTTTCATCCTCTTACTTTGAGTCTGTGTATGTCCTTTCTAGAGAGATGGGTCTCTTGAAGCAGTATATTGTTGCCTGGTGATATTTTATCCATTTTGTCATTCTATGTCTTTTCAGTGGTGCGTTTAGTCCATTCACATTCAGGCTAATTATTGAAATGTGAGAATTCGCCCTATCATAGAGTTCTTATAGAGTTGTTGTTCTTCCACTTGGTTTTTTTTTTGTCTTTCTTTTGGTTTTGGGGTTGGTTCATGTATATTTTATTCTTTTCCCTGTACTCTTGTAAAGAACGTTGTTCTTTTTTCCTTTTCTTTTGTGTTTAGTACTTTCTTAAGTGTTTCATGTAGAGGTGGTTTGGTGGCAGCATAAGTTCTTAGGGATTGGATATCTGGGAAAGGTTTTAATTCTCCCTCACTGATGAAGCTTAGCTTGGCCAGGTAGGTTATTCTTGGTTGAAACTGTTTATCTTTTAGAACTTTGAAGATAGGGCTCCAAGCTCTTCTAGCCTGCAGGGTTTCTGTAGATAAATCTGCTGCTATTCTGATTGGTTTTCCTTGGTAGATGATCTGGCTTTTTTCTCTTGCTGCCTTTAGGATTTTTTATTTTATGGCTACTTTGTTTAGGCGAATTATTATGTGTCTAGGAGTTGGTCTTCTCATTTGTTGTCTTTCAGGGGTTCTCTGAATCTCTTGTGTTTGAATTTTTGCATCACTGATTAGATAAGGGAAGTTTTCTTGAATGATCTCATGGAAAGTTTGTTCCAGTGTGGTCTCTGTCTCTCTTTCTGCCTCAGGAATGCCAATTACTCTTAGGTTTGGTCTCTTGAAGTAATCGCTCATCTCTTGAAGGTTTTGTTCTGTCTTTTTGAGCTTGTTTTTTGTGTGTTTAAGAGTTTGCGTTATTTCTATATTTTGGTCCTCAAGCTCTGAGATTCTTCTGCTTGGGTAATTCTGCTTTCCATGCTTATCAGTTTGTTATTTATTTCATTCACAGTATTCTTTATTACTGTTATCTCAGATATCAGCTCCTTCCTAGTTTCTTCTTGTCTCCTTAATTCTTTTTAATCTCTCCATTAATGTCTTGATATCTAGGTTTGTAGTTTGAGACCCTTCATTCTGGGGGCTCTTCATTGTTTGCATTCCGAAGTCAGTTTTCTCAGTGTCTGCCCTCCCAGGGGTCTGGGAGAGACCCATACTCTTCATTTCGTTTTTCTTCATTTGTGTTGATTTTTCTCTCTTTCCTCCTTTTCCTCCCCTTATTTAATTCTGTTTTTGAGGGTAGGTGGGGTTGCTTTTATTCTCTTCTGCAATATCCTGTTCTTCCTTATGAGGGTCTTCTGGCTTTGTTCACTTTTGAGGTTGGAGTGTAGGCTGCAATCTGTACTTTTTGCAATTTTGAGGTTTAATTGAGAGGGAAGCTGTGGTTCAGAGTGTATATGCTGATTCTAGCATCCACAAACAGGTGTATGAGCACACTGGAACCTGTTTCCCTCTGCCTTACAATCTGTCCGTTCAGCAGTATGTAGTCTTGGTTCCTAGATTAAAATGGGGGTATAAAAGAGGAAAATAATGGAGGAAGTGTGGGTCAATAGGAAGTTAGAGAGAGAGAAGCATGAGAGGGAAAATAGACATACATACCAACTATCAGGTGAGAAAGAGACACAAGGCCGGAAGGAAGTGAAAAAAGACAGGCAAGAAAGATTCCCTAAAGAATACTGATAGCTACACAGAGACAGACCAATATAATCATGAAACAGTGTAAGTTAGAAGGCAAACAACGAATGTGATAAAAATAAACAGTCAAAATGATAAAATCATAAGTCACAATAAGAGATCAGACTAAAATCACTTCAGCTCTGA